AAAACAAAGAAATAGAAGTAAAACATCTTAAAATGACACTGGGTCAAGCTGGTTAAGTTCGAGTCAATTTCACATGACTATGTAAGTGTACTGCAAAATGAATTTAGATTCATCAACATGGCTAAGCATTTAGTTCGTGTCACGCTCCTCAACAATATTCATAGCAGCAAGCATCTGTATCACAACGGCCACAAGTACCGAGTGAACAAGAAGAGAGCTGGGAAGACTTACTGGAAGTGTGTTACACCAGCTTGTCCTGCATACCTCACGACAGTTGACAACATTCTCAACACGGTTGGCCACCTGCACAACCACACAACTCCTGATTTCCTCATGCAGGTTGATGTATTCAAATCCAAACTTCACAACCGTTCCAGAACAGACACAACAAACCCGATTCCGCAGATTTTAGCAAGAAGAAATACGCAGTCTCAGAAGTAACCCGACATCATTACAGATGCTCTGCTGCAGAACAATGAACATGCCCATCTATGACGCAGTATGAACCGGCATGTACCGACAGTGACACAAGACTGTTCGTATATCCCGCAGACGCTGGCTGATATCAACCTAGAAGACCAGTGGACGAGGACAGAAGCCGGGGACAGGTTCCTACATACCCGTATGGGGTATGTAGATGAGGTGAGGTGAAATAGGGTTTACCGTCGTGCTTGAGAATATTTCGCTCATATGACGACATTAATGCGTGTGTATGTGCGGCTGCTTGTACTAGCCCAGACTGAAGCTGGTTTTATAGTGCTAGCCCACTGAGATACCATGCCGCAGTGAAGCATGAAAACCCCACTCAGACACATTATACTGACTCCGAGCCGACCAGTCCTTGTTGTACCCATTAATGCCAAGCGCAAGGCAGGGACCAACAAGTACCATATTTTAACGTCTTTTGGTATGACGCGGTTGGGGATCGAACCCGCAACCTTCTGCTCCCCGGGCGGGTATGTAGATGAAGTGAAGAAGCTTGAGAGCTCTAGTGCCAGAGGGTAGTGTAGAAGATGTGGTTGAACACTATTGCCAATGCTCCAGCTGGTGAGTGGGAGATGCAGCTCATGGACTATGTGACGACGACTTGGATTGAGGGCTCCTGGCCCAGGGATTTACCTCGAGTCCTGTGTTTAAGGCTCCCTGGGACTCATATTCATAATTTTCAGGGGTCCTGGAAACAAAATGGGGTCACAGAAACTTAAATATTATTATGAATACTGTTATTGTATTGTGTATCATGATCATCACATTGTTACAGTAATAAAATTGCAAATAATACCATAACCCAGCTAGCAGTAAATTCAGTGATAACTTATTGTCACTTTTTCTGCATCCCTGTGCACGCACTAATAAATTTTGTTGCGTCCATAGTCAATTTTTATGCGTAAAGGATGCAGGAATTCACGTCCTGTAAATCCCTGCCTGGCCTCAGTCAATATGGAACCGCTTTCAGAATAATGGGCATCGCATCAATAACCATCTGGAAGGGTGGCATCACAAGGTGAACGAAGAAAAGTCAACCCAACATCTACGTTAGTTGTACATCTGTCGCAGAAAGAACAATCTGCGACTGAGGTGAAAATTCAACAAATTCAAAGACAAGGACCAATCAGATAGAGGAATACTGTGCCACAGATTTAGGGCTGAGGCCCCTGAAGGACGATTACACCTTGGGCAGTTTTCTTGTGAAATGAACTGAAGTCGGAATGTATCTGAATGTTAATGCATTATGAATAATATGTATTTATGTTCAGTTAGTTTGTCTTTATGTTATGATGCATAAATGAGGAAGCGACCATAATAAACAATGCTGAATTTTATTAAAAAGTTATATTGAAACCAAGCCTTGTTATTTCACTTTCTTCTTATCACAACACGAGATCAGTAGAGCGTGATATTAACCACGGGGACCTTCTGCTTGTTGTTGCACAATATAGACAGTCATTATGGGTAGGACTGCACGATATTACTGGTATATCGGTATACTGTAATATGCTTTTCAAACGATGCGTATTGCAATATTTTTTTCTGAGAACCAATATATTGGGTAAAGAACATATATGAAGTCTTTGTGATTATCTTTATGGTTTAAATAAAAATGTCACATTCCTTCATTCACAACAAATGATTTCCTTCGTTATTCAATGACGAAACGGCATACTGTAATGCTGTAAATTGTATAAAGAAAAAATAGAATTAATGACTATGCAACCTAATGTTAAGATTGCTGTTATCAGAACCATAACATATATGTTTAGGGACTCAAAATATAGAAAATAGGATTCACATGGACAATTAGTGTCACTCGCTGTCAGACACTTAAGTTCCCAACAGATCGCAATATTTGTCGCAATCCTTGTACCTGAATCACGATATATTTGCAATACAATTTATTTGCCAATACGCAGCACTAATTATACAATTTGTCTAAGATCCAGGCTTGAACCGTCAATTTACCAGGAAAACCCGCCTTCCAGCAGTAAGTGGATAATTAACAGGTGCACCTCTTTAGGCTGCCGAGTAACTAATCACCCTGATCAATCAATAAGTACTTAACCAGTTCTTTTATTGCACACTTATACATGAATCGCTAGCAGATTCACATACATATATCTCATACACCAGGAATATTTCAGGTCAAAAACATGAATCCTTCTTAAAAATGAAACTGCAGATACAGCCAATTGCAAAAATAAATTACCCATATTCATTAGTGTATGTGTGAAACTCACTTCAAAACACAGCAGTTAGTATTAACATTAGGGCAAGAAATAGTTCTTTTCTTGGGTAAAGGATTTTCTGTCAATGTGGCTGAAAGCATGATTAAAAAATGTTGGGGTTGATTTGAAAATCTTTCCTGAAACTCACTCATGACCGCTCTAAACATCTGCCCGTTTTTCATATTGGACATGATTTCAGCTGGTAGTTCCGATTCTGTCCACTCAAGACTATGGAGTCCTTATTGTCTTCAGGCTACTAATAATTTTGATCCAATGTAAGCATTGACATGGGCTTACAACGGAGGACACCGAGAGAAGGGCTCCCTTGTGGCTGTATCAATACTTGAAATCCATCTCATTTCCTCATTCTAGGACTCCATCTAATTCCTTGTAACATCCATCTTTCCCCCAAGGGCTGAGATGCACTTATCCTTCAAAAATAATCTCACTAGCCTCGTACTGTCTCTAATGAAACGATCAGGGGAGGAACACTGTGGAAGGGGGGAATCAAGAGGTTGAGGTGGGGTTTCACTGCCATGGTTACCAGACTGTATTGCTTTTTATCATCCTTCTGTGGTCTATCAAGTTCCACTTATCGGTCTGGAAAATGAGCTGGGAATATATTGATAAACAGGACTCGACCTGACAACACACGACTTTAACGAGTCATTAGCAGCCACCATCAAGTCTCTTGTGTGGAAAATAACGTCTGTATCGTGTAGTTACTGTCCACTCCACCAGTGACCAAGGAGGGTGATTGGGTGACTTAATGGCATTGCAGCCACTACAATTCATGCTGAAAATCGGACGATCCAGCAAATATTAGAAAGAGTGAGTACAGTTGAAAGCTTAGTCTTTGAACAGTGTCAGTAACATAGGAGGTCTGTTTCTGGAGAAAACCCTAAATGACATTTTTCACAGAAATTTTAAAATTTCATGAAACATAAAGATATGTTTTTTTCTGGCCATTTAAAGAAAAAAAAACATCACATGGGTTATAAACGGTGAGAAGTCCTTTCCATGCATCTTACAATGGTCCAGAAATTTCACAATGGGGAAACAACCGAAATGGGCTTCATGTGTGGAGTCAAACCTGGTTCTTGTGTGACAAGTGAACACCTTAACACTCGAGCTACCTCACTGCCTGTTATATAACTCAAGGATTATGTGTCATAGACAACAATCTGAAACTGATAGATGTATGGCAGGCATATTTTGCAGATTTGCTGTAGAGAGCAGCAACAATTTGGATATCGGAAAGATAAGGGTGATGATGATTAACGTGAATCATGATGTGAGACATAGGTACGAGATCCGCCCGTAACCCCCTCTTGAAATGTGTTCTATTTATTATGATTATTTCAAGGGGTTAGGGTTTAGGTTTAGGGTTTAGATTTAGCATTATGTCAGGTATAGGGTTAGGGTACACTTTCTTTAAAAAAAAGCCATCTATTCTTAAGCATAGAATGATGAAAAAACAGGGTTTTATGGGTGGAAATGTTTCTGAGCCATATTCCTTCGATGGAACAAAAAGCAATAGGTTAACACTATCCTGAAGACAACTGTATAATTATTAATATTATGATGACAACACTAATGATAAACACCTGATAAATAATGGAACAGTGGAAATAATATTACAATGCCCCCCAGGATCCACCTATGTTCTTGTACATACGACACACTGATTAACATACATATAAAGTCTCAGATCATATCGCTCAGTCTCCAAATAACTGCTGAACGAGTTTTTTGTCTTACTGCTCCGAATGTCAACAGCAAGTAGCAAACAGAAATAGCACCTCTACGTTGGCGTTCTTGGCTGAAAATTTAATCTGTCAGGTGTATTCAGACCAAGTCAACAAGCTATATAGGGGTTTATCCCAGCTACCGGACTGGTGGTTAACAAAACACAAGGTTGAAAAGCATGGAATGCGCACCTCGGTCCCTTTAACACGGCCACAGTGAAGCCCACAACTCGCACTGTTGACAACACAGTCCATTCATAACAGCTACACCGCGTTGAAACTTTGTACAACTTTCGCGTCTATATGTTTCAATGTAACAATCTATAATTGTTCTAGGGGATACATTTTGGTACCTTTCAATAATGTAAACAAGCTTGCATCCTTGCCCTTCATAGACACAGGTCGGGAGGGTCGGGTCTCCGCGCGTGGAGCTATCGTTCGACCCGTGCATGTTTCACGTGCAGCACGGACCGCTCGTGCTATATGATACACTCTTGTGGTGACGGAAACAAAAACACAGATGTCTTACCTGCATCAGCTGTCCTTCGGCGCTGACTCGGGCACCTGCAGCTGAGAATTCTCCATTTAGTCGGTACGATCTTGTCTTGTAATCGCCATTTTCCACAGAATTGAACAGTACTATCTCCAGAATTCCAGTGTTTTGTGTCATTCCACGCGATGCCTCTAACACACACAACAACAAGACAACCAGATTCATCTTCCCGGAAAGTCTCCGGAGTTTAGGACGCGGGACATCGCTTCCCTGGGTCTCCTATCGACATACACACACCCGCACCCTCTCTCGCCACTTCTCTAGCGGCGAAGCTAGCATACCAGTCAATGGCGGCGTGCATCAAAGCCTTTGGAGAGTCACGTGGTTTCTAGGGTTTCCCCGCCTACAGGGAGAGACACGAATACTCTACCGACCGCACCATGCTCACTTTGCTTCAGACCGAGCAAAAAACCCGCCTTTGAAGTTACTGGCGTACTGAGAATTTGTAAACATGGTGGGAAATCATAAATGTCCGGTTCGATATGAATCGTACAAATACGCGTGGTTAATAAAAAAATAAATAAAAATAAAATCCATACATTAGCGTTAATGGTTTTTTCCCCTTACAAACGCAACTTTAATGTTAATTACCATCTCATTGGGAAAAAAATATATCCCGATCAATGGTCCTTGATATATCATCGATTCGTTAGTGGCCATGAAACTTTTATTATACACCTTGTTGGGTCGGTGAGGTAATGCTGTTTGTGATCGCCTTCGAGTTCAATAGGGGCAATTAAGGGTTGGGGGGTGGGGTTGTTGGTCCAGGAGTCGGGGGATGCTTAGGTAGAACGACAACTGACAGGAAAGTTGACACAAAATGGGTCTGATAGGGTGAGTGAGTCTAGTTTTACGCCGCACTCAGCAATATTGCAGATATATACGGCAGCGGTCTGTAAATAATCGGATCTTTGACCACACAATCCAGCATGAACGTCAATCTACGCAATTGGGATACGATGACATGTGTCAACCCAGTCAGCGAGCTAGGCCACCCGATACCGTTAGTGGCCTCTCACGACAAGCATGGGTTACTGAAGATCAATTCTAAACCGGACCTTCACGGGTGTGTCTCATAGGGGAGAGCGGGGCATGAGATGCGCGTGTTTAAGTGAGTGAGTGAGTGAGTATGGTTTAACGCCGTTTTTAGCAATATTCCAGCAATATCACGGCGGGGAACACCAGAAATGGGCTTCACACATTGTACCCATGTGGGGAATCGAACCCGGGTCTTCGGCGTGACGAGCCAACGCTTTAACCACTAGGCTACCCCACCGCCCCACGTGTTTAACCACCGTCATCCTTTGACTTCTTCACGGACTACATTGATTAATGCAATCTTTTGTTTTCAGGAAATGTAGGCATTGTGGCTCACTGAAGTGTTGTAGTAATTCTTGACTGGATTATGAAGAACCACCTTCGTGGTGTAGTGGATGGAGCATTAACCCGGAGAGCAGAAGGCAGGTGTTCGATTCCGACCTCGTCACAGAAAAATAATCAAACAAAATTAAACGGAGGCTGGTCTGTAATTTCTGGGTGGGTATTCATGAGTTTTTTTATCATGATAAATCCATTATTAATGCCAACGACTACAAGGTGAGTAGGTGAATTTAGTTTTACGCCGCTTTTAGCAATATTCCAGCTATATCACGGCGGGGGACACCAGAAATGGTCTTCACACATTCTACCATGTGGAGAATCGAACCTGGGACTTCGGTGTGACGAGCGAACGCTTTAACTACCAGGCTACCCTACCGCCCCATTATTACAAGGAGCGGAGTAGCCTACTGGTTAAAGTATTGAAAACGTTTGCGCGTTACGACAGGCCGGGTTCGATTCCCCACATGGGCATAATGGGTGAAACCCATTTCTGTTTTTCCCGTTGTATTGCTGGAATATTGCTGAAAGCGACGTAAATCCGAAATTACTTGCTCATTACTACATATTACACCCCAGCCGAAGTTATGCAAAACAGTAGATATTGATAGTGTCATGGATTCGAATGACGCTTTGCCCCGATGATACCCCCTTGTCGGTGAAATAAATACCGGTTTCGTCCCACAGGAGCTCACATATGCCGCGATATACTGAATGAGTGAGTATGGTTTTACGCCGCTTTTCGCAATATTCCAGCAATATCACGGCGGGGGACACCAGAAATTGGTTTCACATTGTACCCATGTGGGGAATCGAATCCGGACCTTCGGCGTGACGAGCAAACGCTTTAACCACTAGGCTACCCCGCCGCCCCAGCCGTGAATTGTTGCTTTAAGAGGCGTTGAACCGAATACAGATCACTACTGGATGCTGTATTTAGCGAGGGAACTGGGGCGGTGGGGTAGCCTAGTGGTTAAAGCGTTCGGTTGTCACGCCGAAGAGCTCGGTTCGATTCCCCACATAGGTAAAATGTGTGAAGCCCATTCTGGTGATATTGCTTGAATATTGCCAAAATGCGGCGTAAAACCATACTCACTCGCTCACCTTTTGAAAAAGTCATTTTGGTCTAATGTCAATAGGTGGAAGTGACCACTCTCGTTAAGTTTTGTCACGTTGGGCAACAAATTTGTCATGTTCTTTTTCTTAAAATCCTTTGTAATGGGCATTGCGTCTGAAGGGTATAAACGCTAACATATATCACACAACAAAGGAGACGACACGTGTCAACTGTTTTGTCCTCGTGTCAGGGAGTTAACAATTTAACTTTTCTGAGGTCCGCGTTTCCTGTAACGCTACCGATAAATCATTCATTTACAACTCTGAAAGTTTGTCACGAATGGAAATAATACGACACACTTATCAAACTAATTAAATTAATTCTTGGAATTAGTATTAAGTAAATGTAATCTGCAACTCTGGCATTTTTATGCTCTCACCTTGTTGTATGTATCACTATGGAGGGCCCCTTCACAAGGTGTTTAACTAAACTGAGCAAAACTAGTTTTGTGAATATTTTTGGGATATATTCTCTGAAATTGTGAGCTCAGCCTCCTCTGCAAAAAATAACCGCCCCCAATGCTTGTCGTAAGAGGCGACTAACGGGATCGGGTGGTCAGGCTCGCTGACTTGGTTGACACATGTCATAGTATCCCAACTGCGTAGATCGATGATCATGCTGTTGGTCATTGGATTGTCTGGTCCAGACTCGATTATTTACAGACCGCCGCCATATGGCTGGAATATTGCCGTAAAAGTAAGCTCACTCACTCACTTACTCAGACGGTAGGTCATATCCTACGTGCTTTACACGTGTCACTGTAACGTACTTGCCTAACCTTCATTAATTACAGAGTTCTTTTCTAACTGTGGAGACAGCTGTGTGGTGTCGTGCATGCCTGTAACAGCGTCATCCCACGCACGGATACACTGACACGAAATTACAAATATCATTATCTTTGTGTGGAGTATGAACAAATCTAATAAACATCATTTTGTAAATTGGGTTCATAAAAGTTAAGAAGCTTGAGTTGTCGAGGTTATATTTCATGACGCGTCAGCTAACATGAAATCATATTTATTCATTCATTCATTCATTCATTCATTCAGTCTTTCATTCATTCATTCAGTCAGTCAGACAGTCAGTCAGTCTTTAAAGCATATCCATCCATACATTCATTCATTCATTCATTCATTCATTCATTCATTCATTCATTCATTCATTCATCCATCCATCCATCCATCCATCCATCCATCCATCCATCCATCCATCCATCCATCCATTCATTCATTCATTCATTCAGTCAGTCAGTCAGTCTTTCATTCATTCAGTCAGTCAGACAGTCAGTCAGTCTTTAAAGCATATCCATCCCTACATTCATTCATTCACTCATTCATTCATTCATTCATCCATTCATTCATTCATTCAGCACAAATACTGGGGACCTGCGATCAGCCAATCCCAATCAATCCGCGCCACCTCAATAGATGAGCACAGATCAACACAATTCGGATATGATGACATCTGTCGAGCTTCCCTGACCACCCGACCCCAGTGGTCGCCTCTTATGACAAGAATGGTTTCCTGAAGACGAATTCTAAGCCAGATCGTCGCGTGTGGAGCCATGGTCAGACAAATAGAAGATTTTATGAACGTCTCATTCCTGTAAGACATCAAATACCTGCAGATAGACTACTGGAGTCAAATCAAAGGAGCACACGTAAAATGAGCGCATACGTTCACAGGGAATAGAAGAGATTCTTGAGTGGGAATGCAAGCACTTTCGCCAGTCAACTGAAACGGTTCCCCACGACTTTATTATTTACGTTATACTATTTTTCACAGATAGTACACATTCAAATAACATTTCCGCAAAATATATATAAAACAGAGAAAGCTAAACATGTTCAACAACCTAAAATACAGATTTATACAGGCTTAACTACACATAGTTTCAGCCCATACAAATCTAGAGAGTTATCTGCTGTAGGAGATGGGAAAGTATGCCTACTTGAGATGGAACTCAATAAGGAATGCAAGGACGTAAGCAGCTACATCATCTACACGTGGGCCATAAAGCATTCTAAAATTAGGTGCGTCCATAATAATTGTCGCATGTGGATGGCTGTAGAAAATGGCTTCATATTGTATACTTCGGCAGTTGAGACGCGAAGTAATCGACCGAAAGCTGCGTAAAAGTGGATGACGGGAAAGACACTCGTCTCGGAAAATGCAGCAAATTTCACCTTGCAAAAGTTGGGATAACATGCCGTGACCCGGATTCGAACCGGGGTTCTTGCGGCCACAACCCAAAGTCCTAACCACTAGACTATCACTGCTACCTGTCACCCTATTAACAGAAAGACATTCTTCGTGCTGTAATCACTGACACTTGGTTTCTTTTCACCCTTGTCGGAATATGTAGGGGTAAATTATTTCATGCCTGAAGAGAAGTGAAAGTAAAGTAAATGAGTTGTCCTCATTTCCAAAGTCACTTTACTCAAACAGTTATCTTAAATTAGTAAACCTTGAATAGTGAAAGCTTAGTTGGACTTCTGATCGTTCCAGCCACATCAATTAATAAAAGTAAATGAGATTTGTATTAATTCAAAACATCTACTATATGTAAGGCAATGTGAAAGTGAATTACTAATGAAATAAATCAGGGCTAGGGTTAGGGCAAGGGTTACGCTGAGGTTTAGGACTGGGGCTAGGATCAGGACTAGGGTTAGGGTCAGGGTTTCACTTAGATTTAGGTTAGGGTTAAAACTGTAGTTAGGGCCAGGGTTTGGATTACGGTTAGGGCTGGGGTAAAGGTTAGGGTTGGGGTTACGGTTAGGGTTAGATGCCCCAACTCTTTCCCAAACCATGTAGAATAAAATTCTGTTGGGGATTGATCAGATTTCTTTCGAAATTCTTTATGTACTATGTAGTTTGAAATGAGCCAACTTCTGAAAGTAGGTATTTTTGCTTCAATCCTAAAATGAAAGAATGCTGATATCCAAAAGTAAAAGTGTAGATGCCGAGACCAGGATTCGAACCTGGGTTCTTGCGGCCACAACGCAAAGTCCTAACCACTAGACGATCACGGCTGTTCTACAACCTGAAACGGACAGGGATTTATACACATTTTCAGCCTTTTCCTTCCTACGATAAATCTACAAACACATCGCTTCGTCACAGTATAATGTTGATGACGCCCTCTAAAAACAGCAGGAAGTCCGCTACAGGTCAGTGAGCAGAGAGTTTCCGCCAATTACTAATGACATTACCTATGTACTTGATGATAAGAGTAACTTGCAATCATGGTATTGACGACACGAAGGTGCCCAAATGAAATCAGAGAGTTATTTGCTGTAGAAGATGGGAAAGTATTCCTACTTGAGATGGAACTACGAGAAGGAGTGCAAGGACTTAGGCAGTTTCAACAACCACACGTACGTGGGCCATAAAGCATTCTAAAACTAGCTGCCTCTATAATCATTGTCGCATGTGGATGGCTGTAGAAAATGGCTTCATACTGAATACTTCTGCAGCTGAGACGCGAAGAAATCCACCAAAAGCTACGTAATAGAGGGCGAAACTCGTCTCGGAAAATGCAGAGAATTTCACCTTGCAAAAGTTGGGGTAACATGCCGTGACCCGGATTCGAACCGGGGTTCTTGCGGCCACAACGCAAAGTCCTAACCACTAGACGATCAGGTTTACCTGTCACCCTGTTATCAGAAAGTCATTCTTCGTGCTGTAATCACTGACACTTGATTTCTTTTCACCCTTGTCGGAATATGTAGGGGTAAATTATTTCATGCCTGAAGAGACGTGAACGTAAAGTAAATGAGTTGTCCTCATTTCCAAAGTCACTTTACTCAAACAGTTATCTTAAATTAGTTGCAAAAGTGGGGTAACATGCCGTGACCCGGATTCGAACCGGGGTTCTTGCGGCCATAACGCAAAGTCGTAACCACTTTTTTTTTTTTTTCATTAAATATTTATTCACATGATTGAATAATTACAGGCGCAGACAGCTCTCACACTACCACCTCAAAAATAATATATTCATGTCAGAGTTTGGGTGGCAGTGGTTAACATATCAATTGTAAAGAGAGAAAATATATTCACATAGTATTTTACAATTTATAATAAACATGTATACATGAATAAATATACAATGTATTTCATTCAGCTATAATATAACTTCTACAGATGTTATGAACTACGTATTGTTCTATTCTAAAGGTGGCTTGAGAATAATCTCATTTCCATCTAACGATATGAATGCGTTGCTCATGACATATTTTTGAGTGAAAATGTGTGATTGATTTGTTTTCGAATATTTATACAACAACAGGCTAAAATGGCGTTTTATCAATGATTTCAAAAATGCCCTCATGTGAAATGAGATTGTGTTTTGGCTCAATATAACTCTCCTTTTAAATACAGCAAGACGATAAATTGACAATACAATGTCCATGAATGATTTACATGACAACTTCTTTTCTGGCAAGAATCCAAACAATAACCAGAGGGATAACTGTCCAAAACTAAATCCTGTATCCTGGCACACATCTGTCAACATTTCAATCACCAGTTCTTGCGAGGAAGATAACTCTTTGCAGAAGATGAATAGATGTAAAATGTCTTCTGTTTCACTTTGACACACTAGACAAACATCAGTGTTTGACAGTCCAATTTTTAGGAGTTTATCATATGTGAAGACAATATTATGAGCAATTTTGAAAACTAACTGTACGGAATCTGTTGATTTATCTTTTCCCCATACATTCAGCCAAATATCTTTCCAATTGATATCTAAAGCAATTTGATTCCACCGAGAGATAGCTACTGGTTCCTTGAAATGTTTTTTCCTTAAACTTCATGCCAAAATTTTGTTGTAAAGAAATCAACAGACAAATCCTGTTCATCAACAGTGCATATTATGTCCCTTGAGGGGGGCTTTGTGGCAACCTCTGATAAAATTATCTTTTTCCACTCTGATGGAAGCGCTAATAAAATAATCCCATAACATTATTGTATGGTACTAATATCCATCTCAGGTAAGGTGTCATGGACTATTTTCACAATAATGTGTCCAGACATGAATTTTGAAATGACTTCAAGACAAATATGTTTGATACAAATAATTCCACTTGAAATATACGATTGAAACATAAGAGATTTTCCATTAAATATAATTAATGGATTTTTAAATAGTGGCTGATTCATGATGTCTTCTACATTTTTAAGTAATGGTCTGTTTCCTTCGTTCAATTCATTCCATGCAGCTAGTAGTTCAGCATAAAATGGGCTAAATATTCTGTAAATAGGTTTTGTCATATTCAAGAGATAAGGCATAAACTCCTAAGTTCATTGTCAAAAGATGTGACATAAAATATACAATGGTTTATTTCCAAATACAATTGAGCTGGCAATTGACAAAGGCTCTCAGCAATTTCAGCCTCAATTCATATTTTCTTGAACGTAAATTTGGTATATTAAGACCTCCATCTAAACAAACACCAATGCATGTATTGTATGCTATTTTGGCAGTTTTATTGGGCCACAAAAAATTCCTAAACATTTGAGTGAATTTATTCTCAACCCAATATGGAACAGGTAGTACAGTGAACATATACCACAAACGAGAGCTCATCAGGATATTAATAACAATTGCTCTGCCTTGTAAAGTAAGCTGTCTGCGTAGCCATGAATTTAACAGTGCTTGTATTTTGTCTATTTTCTTTCCCCAATTTAATGTTTCACACATTGCTTTGTCCATGCCAAAATAAATGCCCAGTACTTCTATACAATCCCTCTTAACTTTAACCGGAATTTTGATTGAAAAATCTCTAAACCTATTTTTACCCAATAACAAAATTCCGATTTTTCAATGTTGATTTTTGCACCTGTTGCCTCACAATATAGGTTAACTGTACTAAATGTTTCAAGGACAGAGTTAACATCTGAGACAGTAATTGTAGTGTCATCAGCATGTTGGTATATTAAAGAGTTAATATCATTGCTGATGCTAATTCCATGAATATCAGGATTATTTCTGATGATTAAATTCAGTGGCTCTGATATCAAAACATATAGCATAGAGCTCTTTGGATCCCCTTGCCGAACTCCACGGGTTAGTGTGAAATACGGTGTCAAATGGCCATTGCACTTCACAGAACTCTTTATATCAGTATATAAGATCTTAATCCATGAAATGAATAAATCTCCAAAGTTAAATTTCCTAAGAATTCGAAATAAATATTGGTGTGAAACCCCGTCAAAAGCTTTTTCTTGATCTATTTTTATGAGATAGGAGTCATCATTACGATTATTGTTAACATCAATAACATCTCGGACAGAGTAAAGGTTGTTGGCTATGTCTCTTCCTGGTACACAACAAGATTGTTCAGGGGAGACAATTGAAGCCATGACATTTCTCAATCTCAACGATAACACTCTTGATATGAGTTTAGAATCTACATTAATCAATGAAATAGGTCTGTAACACTTAATGTCTCTCTTGTCTCCTTTCTTTTTATAAAACAAACTGATAATACTCTTTTTCATGGAACGAGAAAGATTATGTTCTTTGTATATACCATCTACAACTTCGAAAAAGAAGGGACATAAAATATCCCAAAACTTTAAATAAAACTCAACAGTTAGCCCGTCCGGGCCAGGTGATTTATTCTTTTTCATTCCTTTGAGTGCCACTGTAAGCTCACTCTGAGAAATAGGTAGGTCACATGAAATTTTTTCTTCCTCCGAAAGTTTATTTTCAATATTATCAATGAGGCCCTGTTGTTTTACTAAATTACATTGCTCGGCAGTAAATAAGGATGAGTAAAATTGCTGAGCAGTATCCAAAATATCCTCTGTGCTCCTGGCTATCGTACCATCTCCCTTGAAGAGTGATGTTATTGAATTAGCCTGTTGTTTAGTTTTTTCAAGGTTCAAAAAGTAACTGGTGTGTCTATCTGAATCCAGCGTGCACTGTGCTTTTGACCTGAGAATGGCACCCTTGCATTTATTGTTCTCATATTTCTCAAGTTCATTTTCCAATGATTGTAAATCAGTAGATGTATAGCCAGGAATGGAGGATATTTTATGATATTCAATTCTAAGCTTATTTTAAATGTTGTAATAATCAGCTTTTGCTTGGTTGCCTTTTTGAGATGCATAAAATCTGGAAAGTGTTTTGAACTTGTATTTTAAGTTATCCCACCATATCAATGGCTCTGTTTTAAGTAAAGGGCACTGTTTTGCCTCCTCTATTAATGCAATAATTCTTAGGTAGAATGTGAAATCTTCCAGAAGCTGATTATTAAAAATCCATACCCCA